ACTTGCTTCAGCTTAGGGTAGAGTTAGGATTTGAATCCAAGTATCCATGATTCTGAAACCCAGGCTTTTCACCATTCAACTATGCTGCCTCTTTCTGTTGTTTCTTTCCTTCTTCCTCCCTCCCTCTCGTTCTCAAGATTTCTTTGTTTAAAAGGCAGAGTTGGAGAGGGAGAGAGTGGGGAGAGGGGAGAGAGAATGAATCTTCCATTTGTTGGTTCACTCCCCAAATAGCCTCAGCAGAAGCCAGGAGCTCAGAGCTCCACCTGCACCTCCTATGTGGGAGGCAGGGGCCCAAGTACTTTGGCCATCTTGTGCTGTTTTCCCAGGCATGTCAGCAGGGAGCTAGTTTAGAAGTGAAACAGCCAGGACTCAAAACCGGCACTCATGTGGGATGTTGGTATTGCACTGCAGGTAGAAGCTTAACTCACTGTACCACAACACAGGCCTGGAATTTCACTGGTGGCGATTTTTGCTCAAGGTCATATCGGAGCTATTTATCACAGCTTTTGAAGTGAAACTGCTGATTAAAGTAATTTTAAACTAACAGCTTAACAGACATGGTTTGATTAAAAAGCACAGTGCTCTTGTTTTCAGTTACTATAACTTGACTGAGTTCTTTTTCCACAGGAATATTTGATTCCTGGAACACATTTTAAATGACGCTCTCATAGTGAAAACATTGTTAAACTGAGCAGAAAGCAGCCCATCAGTTACCTTCTGAAAGTTCAGCTGTACCAGTTACAAATACCAAGACACCAAGGAGTCATTGTAGCTCAGCCAATTTGGTTTTTAAAAAATGGGAAAAAATACAGTTGCATAATTCAATGGCCTTCTTACTCCACATCTTAAAATGCCCACAGAGCTTTTACTAAAGCAAGGCATTATGTAGTCTGTACAATTATACTGCTGTATTAGTGAACAGCTGTTTTAATCTATGAGACAAGGAAATACAAGTTATTTCTTAGCTACTAATAATTTTCATGATCACAAAAGCTCATATAAGGCATGAAAGAATATTTTAAATTTTACTTTAAAAAAATCTACATTTTTTTTTTTCCCTTAAAAGTCTGTTCATCAGGGGTGGGTATTCTGGTGCAGAGGGTTTTGCCACAGCCTGCAACTCCTGAATGCTATGTCCAATGCCAGTTCAAGTCCTGGCTCCTCCACTTCCAATCTAGTTTCCTGCTAATGTGCCTAGGAGGCAATATATGAAGGCCCAAGTGCTTGGGTTCCTGCCCCACACATGGGAGACTTGGATGGAATTTCTAGCTCCTGCCTTTTGATATAACTAGGCAGTTAGTAAGCTTAAGTGAGCTGGAATTCTTGCAAGGTAACCTTATGTCTTTAACTGTCAGCTTGATATGCCCACCTTCCCAGGATGCACCTCTGTCTCATCTGGGACCAAGAAGTGTGTTAAGACCCAGCCTGCTTGTTTACCCAATTAAGGTACCACCCCCTACCTCACAGAAGAGGCTGAGACCAAGGAAAAGGGTTCTTTTCCCCACAGACCACACTTGGAAGTACTGCTCTTTTCCTGCCTTTCATGAGCAACCCTATGGCCCACTCATGATGGGGTGGTATTTCTCTGTGTGAGGTGGCCCAGACTCATGCATGAATCTATGTTTATTCTCACTGTTAAATAAATCCTCTTCTCACTTGTGCACTATATATAAGGATGCCTCTGCTTTGAATTTTTTTCTTTGTGGGAGCAAGGACCTAGAATAAAAATTAAGATAATCAGGCCCATATCACTTTGGTCTGGCCCAGCCCAGGCTGTTGGCAAGCATTTATGGAGTGAACCAATGGATGGGGGTTGGGGGATGATGGGGTGTGTGTGTGTGTGTGTGTGTGCGCGCGTGTGCATGTTTCTCCCAATCTGTCATTCTGCCTTTCAAATAAATAAATAAATCTTAAAAACAAAAAAGCCTTTTCATCAGAGGGGGGTGTTTGACTTGGAGGTAAGACTCCTGTTAGGATGCTCCCACACTGGAGCACCTGGGTTTGTCACCTGCCGCTGGCTCCTGCTTCCAGCTCTGTGCCAATGCAGACCTGGGAGGTAGCTTTGATAGTTCACATAGCTGGGTCCTTGCCACCCATGTGGGAGACCTGAATTGAGTTCCAGGATCCGAGATTCAGCCAGACCCCTCAAACACTGAGGGCGTTTTGGGAGTGAACCACCAGATGGGAACTCTGTTTACCTCTCTCTCTGCCTCTCAAATAAAGAAAAAATTTTATATCTACTAATCAGAAAAGCCA